AACCAAAAGTCATTACCTCTAGACTTAAACCTAATACAATTTTCAATAACCTATTTTCACAATTAACATTTATCAAACTAACATTTTATTAGTTCTTATTTATGTTTGAAAATTTTAAAAATTATATACAAATTTAACCAAGAAAATTTATTTTTTTAATTAACAAACATCATTATATTGACAAATATATTTACAGTTTTTTACAAGATGGTAATTCATAATTAATTGAAATAATTTAATTATAAAATTGGGTTAACTAAAACAATTTATATTTTACAGTACCCTAAACGATCATGCACCAAATAATACAAAAGTTAAACGCCTAGTAGAGTACGTTGGCAAAATGACAAACGGGACCTATTCAAAACGACCATGCTGCTAGACTGACCAAATGTCCAGAAATGGCCTGGATTGTCCCGGAATGAAGTCCCTGTCCAGTGTCCAGGGCGGGGTTAAACCCTGACATTATAGTGTCCAGGAATGATAAAATGAAATTTTTTACCATAAATGTTTTCTAAACTCCATACAGTATTTGTTAGTAGTGCTTTTATTGAAAGTAATTGTTTATTGCGGACTACCCAAATACTTGCACAATACATATACAATTACACTTTAAAATAATCAATATAAAATTCTTTTGCATATAAAGTGCTTAGTTGGAAAAATATATTTGTTAATAGAAGTTTATCGATATTACCAATTTCCAATACTATCAATAATACAAATTGTGTACAATATTTTTAAATATAATTACGTGATTGAATATATTATTTAATAAACATAAGCTATACATGAAGTTAATGGTTTCCACATGTGAATGATAGCAATGAATGTAATTAGTTTCAAGCAAAACATCACACATAATAGTCTAGTTTTAGCATATACTGTAAATAAATTGTGATTAAGTTTATCTTGTTTTTATTAAATATATAATTGTTAAATATCTTAAATCAAATAACATAACGTAAAAATATAACATGTACAGGCACAAATAAACTAAAATCGTCTCAAAAACATGAATAAAATATTTTATTATTGCTTAGAAACCTGCCCAGAATTAGTCAAGGTTTGGACCACTTTTTGTCCAGAATTTGTCCCGGAATATTACAGGAATTTTAATGAAAATCCAGAATTTAGCCAAACCCGTCTGGTCAGTCTACATGCTGCACAGACATATTAAAACACATGCCTGAATGGCAATATAACACGAGTGAAATACTTGATATGTCGGTAGATCTACTCGTGTCCATTCATATTATTGGTGAATGTAAATTATTTGTCAATCTATACAAAACTCTATTTGAAAATATGGTAAAATTACATGCCGTGGAATCTGACCAGGTTCGCGATAAACTATGTAAAATATTGGATAAAATTATTACCATGTGCATTCAGCCACCAATGGATGATCACGGTAGTAATACTGACCATCAAACTGGTCACGTGCTTAGTTTAAATATATTTCATTCAAAAATTAGAGAATTATTTCACCGGTTTATTTTTCAAAACATTGATCATGATCATTTTCACGATGAATATCAATTGTACTGTTACAGATATACAGTGATGGAAAATGATAAATTTATTCACCAAGCTAGTATTGTTCAAAAACATTTTACCATGTGTTTAAAAGTTATCACAAATTCTATTAAAACTTTAAACACTAATCAAGACAGTTATCCGTTAGAGGCATTTATACTGCAATATAATGAAAACATTGACATAATTAGAAACAAGATCATAGAGTTAATTGATCCAGATGGTAAACGACAAACTTGTACCATCCACGATATTGGTTTTATTTTTGAGTTAGATAACTCTATTGGCAAAATATACTTTCCTGTAAAAAACTACCTTAATAAATACATCGAGTTAATAAAAAGTGAATACAATTGGATGCTAATCTCATCGGACAGTACAAACCAGTTAACGCAGGCCAGCAAAAATCACCTAGACACATGCGACGCGCAATTTGAAACTGACCAAGTTGACTATACCTATCACGATATGGTTGGCTATAAAAACATTTGCAATGAATACCGCAATATATTGCGACATAAACTGGACTCAGAGCTGCACACTTTTATACAAGATTTAAAATATGCCCAAAAGTGTGCTGGCACATTTAAAACACAACTAGCTGATTGTTATCGCGAGTGCACCGTGGCCGAGTACTATGCTCAAATTCAGCTATACACTGAATATCAGCGCTTATACAGGGAGTGTACGGATAGATATAACCGGTATTATAGCGACCAAACGGCCTGTAATATTATGAACGATAATCTCGGCGATGATCTCAAGCATACGATTAACACGTTTTACGGATCGCTCGTGAGATGTCAGGAATGGCTGGAGAGTTGTCTGCATAGGTATGGCGAGAGATTGGATGAGGCATATGATAATGTCGGTTGTTTTCATCGCTGTATTAACCCTATGGGTAATTGGCTAAAATCTAGCAAAAATATTTATCAAGATCTTTCTGATGAGTTTAATAAAGGTATACCCGAAGAGTTGAGAGAGTATAGGTTTGAGGGCAAGTTTTATCCGGAGACCTTGGTGATTATTAATAATAGGTTTTACCCATTGCGAAGTAAATAAAATTATAATGCATTTGTTTTATGTAGATGATTTAAATTTAGTTTATACATGCCAAATCTAACTCTAGAAGCCTATGCAGTTACATGGAGCCCAATATACCAAATTTACTTGATGTAGCATTAATAATTTAGTTTTAATATATTATATTTAATATATAAAATGTTTGCGTTAAAATTATTCATTTTACCATTTAATAAAGAGTGTGTTTTACATTTTTATCGTCTTAAATTAATGTGATTTAAAGTAATGTTATTTTATTTGTGTGTTAGTGAGAGAGGAGAGAAGAGAGATAAAGAGAGAGAGAGATAAAGAGAGAGAGAGAGAGAGAGAGAGAGAGAGAGAGATAGTAGGAAGAATATGTTAATTGTTAAATCTATACTGTTATACTGTAATTATGTATAACTTATACATAAAAAATTAATATAAAGTTTACTAATTTTTAAATCTAGCTGTTTTACATTTACATGAAATTATTGTATATTTCAATTGACAACATAATTAAATTTCAATTAATCATGCTGTTTTTAAAAATTTAATGTACATGTTTCTTTAAATGTTTTTCATTTCCAGACATATCTGAAAAATTACAAAATGTTATTGTATCGTTTTGTATAGGTATATGTAAAATATGATCAAGCAAGTTACAAAATAGTAATTATAAGTTATAACGATATATTTTATTTATATTTTATGTTGTAAGATTTTTTAGTTTATAAATGACTAATCTAACTCTAGATGCCTATGCAGTTTACTGATTTAATTTAAAATATAGATACACATATATAGTAACACAATTTATAAAATGTTGACCAAAAATTATTATGTCGAAAAATACTTATGCCAGTTTTTTGGAAATAGATTTCCGTGCCGTAATTGTATTTTAGATAGGTATATGTAAAATATAATCAGGCAAGTTACAAAATAGTTATTACATAATATTTAAGTTAGATGTTATGTTATAAGATTTTTCAGATAATAATTGTTATTTTAAGAATTACCAAATCTACAATCTGCTGTGTAAGAATCTACGTAAATTAATATTTCTATCATAACAAAATAATCTTGGTTAAACCTATATAAACAGAGCGCATCTTACCAAAATGATTATTATCAAGTCATATCTGATTTAAACTTTATTAAAACTACAAAACAATTAACAGGTAAAATATATTAGTTTGTTTAATTTGTTAAATACTATCTAATGTGTTTCCAGATCATCTTCAAGATGTCCATGATGAACAAGTTTATGATGGTTGCGTTGATGATGGTAGCGATTATGTATGCTGTACTCATTAATGTAGCAGTTGTTGAAGGATGTGCCGACCCGGTGGATTGTCCAAGTTTGGAATATTACTGCAATTCATACACAGGTGCCTGTATTCATGATCCATGGTAAATATAAATTACCAATATAATTTGAATGTTACATTAATATAAATTTTACAATGTTAGTCTATAATTTAAAATTAATATTGTATAAGCAAAATGTTTATTAAATAAAACAACATTGTTAAAATTTAAAGTAATGACAGCAAAATTGTTTTACTAAAATGTAATATTTAATTAAATTCAGTTTAATAAAAGTAATTTTATAAATAACTAAATAAATAAAGTAATTCTACAAAAAATTCTTATTGTTGTTGTGACTTAATTTTAAAATTTAACACATTCAATTCAAATGTTTATTTAAATTTTTTTACAGAATATAAATGTGGAAGTAATATATGAAACCTAGAGTAGACTGTATAAGTTTGTTATTTGAAAACATATAGGTATTTGGATAAATAAATAAAATTTTATATAAAAAATTAAATTTTCAAAATTAAATTTCATTGTTCATTATTGTATAATTCTGAGTTATTATTTGACAGGCCACCAGTATAATAATTACATCATAGTAAGATTATTATTTTTCTAATAAATGGCAACCTAGCGACCTAGCTCCACCTCCATCAAGTTGAGAGACAGTCCTCTTTAGTATTGAAGTCCAATGTAATTTTTGACTCACCTTGGTAAATTTGACTTTTAATCAATTAAGAGTTTATAAAATTATTGAGAAGCCAGTACTCATCAGTTTTATTAAAAATAATTGTAACATGAATTTTAATTGGCCCACTTGTTACAAGTAGACAAATTAGAAATGAGTTAAGAACTTGCTTAAACCTATATTAACAGAGCACGTCTTCCCAACTGATCATTGTCAAGTCATATCTGGTTTAAACTTTATTCAAACTACTAAACAATTAACAGGTAAAATATATAAGTTTATTCAATTTGTTTAATACTATCAAATATGTTTTAGATTCCCTTCAAGATGACCATGGCGAACAAGTTAATGATGATCGCATTAATGATGGTAACTATTATGTCTGCTATGTTTATTAATGTAGCAGTTTGTGACGGGTGCACATCCCCGGATACATGTACCGAGGAAGAAACGTGTGATAGAAAAACAGGTGCCTGTCGTCCTGTTTAATAGTAAATAATTAATATAATTTGAATGTTACATTAATATTGTATTTTACAATGTTAGTCTATAAAGTAAAATTAATACTGTATTCTATAAGCATGTTTATTAAATAAAACAGAATTGTTAACACTTAATGTAACGAATTTAAAATTGTTTACTGAAGTTCGACATTTAATTAAATACAGTGCAATAAAATTAATTTTAAAACTAACTAAATAAATAAATTAATTCTACAAAAAAGATTCTTATGGTTATTGTAATTTAATTTTGAAATTTAGCACATTCAATTCAAATATTTATTTTAAAATTGTTCTACAGAATTTAAATGTGAAAATAATATATAAAACCTAAAGTAGACTGTCGAAGTTTGTTGTATTTATTTGGAAATATTTAAACGTGTTGAATAAATAATTAAAATTTTATTTAAAAATACAATTTGTTAGTTTATTTTTGTATAGTAAAGAATTATTGTCTAGCTGTAAATTAGAATAATTCATCATAAACTATATGCTTTAATAATGGTAAGTATTTATTTATGGACCCGGATAAATCTAAACACGGATTTTAGTTTATCTATTTTAATTTGTTATTAATACAATTTAATATTTTTTAAAATAAAAATTATTATTTAGTTTCAAAACTCATAAATCGCTTGTTAACTGTAAATATAAACAAAGTTTTCTGTAGATTTGTTTATCAATATAAAATTATATATTAGTTAAAATATTGAATTACTTATTAGATGTAAGTAACTTGTGGTAAATGATTTTCTTTCTTTGTATTGTTAAATCATAATTTATTTTTTTTAAGTTGCTTTAATGATCTCTTATGTATGTTTTTTACACAATTTTATTTGTTAAAAAATTTGTATGTTTAGTTAAGTAACGTTTCATTTATTATATTTATTTAAGTAATTTAATTTTATTACAGCACTGGAATACTTATAATAATTATATTCAATTTACCAATTATTTTAAACATGTACAAATATTGCACAACATTAAAAACCTAACTAACTATAAAATATATTTAAAACATTTTAAATACAGTACTAACTTTATGTAATGTAATTAATATTTTNAACAGCACTGGAATACTTATAATAATTATATTCAATTTACCAATTATTTTAAACATGTACAAATATTGCACAACATTAAAAACCTAACTAACTATAAAATATATTTAAAACATTTTAAATACAGTACTAACTTTATGTAATGTAATTAATATTTTTAAACAGACCATAATAAATAATATTTAATTAGAATTAATTAAAATAATTAGAATTCATAATTAATTAAAATAATTTAATTATAAAATTGGGTTAACTGAAACAATTTATATTTTACAGTACCCTAAACGACCATGCACCAAATAATACAAAAGTTAAACGCCTAGTAGAGTACGTTGGCAAAATGACAAACGGGACCTATTCAAAACGACCATGCTGCACAGACATATTAAGACACATGCCTGAATGGCAATATAACACCAGTGATATACTTGATA